AAAGAACCACCTGCTTCAGTTTGGGCACCTGAGCAGTATCACAGCCCTCAAGCAAATGGAATGAGATTTGTGTGGCGCATATGTATCTGGTGCTTCCTTGTACTAATATATATGTGTTTAAATAATAATAAAATAAATAATATTACAGATTAATTAGGTATTGCATTGAATAGTTCAGAAGGGTTTGTAGACTCTTTTTTTATCCTGCTGATGACTATTATAATAACAAACAAGAAGATCAATGGAAGACATAATTAACAAAAGAGAGGTGCTGATGTAGATTCAGATGACAACCTGGTTTTGATCAAGATGAAACTGAAGCTAAAGAAGTATTGGAAAATTGAGGAAATAGCATTACAAAGGTTCAATACAACCTTTATTCGACATACTAACAAACTCAACGAATTTAAGATAAATTTCAACAACAGGTTCTAAGCCTTACAAGATCTATTCGAAGAAGAAACTAGTATGGATGACAATTGAAAAGAGATTTACTAAATTGAACGTGTCCGGAGGTCCTGGGTAGCATTCAGAATCATTATAAGAAATGATTCTGCATGGAAACCCTGAATAACATTCAAGAAAATAAGAACAAAGAAATGGCAAATAACAACAGGCGAAGAAGAGCAAAGGAAGTCAACACACAGGATGAATATACAGAAACAAACAAGAGAGTGAAGAGGAACACTAGAGTAGATGAGCAGAAATATGTGGAAGACCTATCAACGACAGTGTAAAAAGCTGGAAGAGAAGGAAGTATGAAACAATTACATTATACAACGAAGAAACTAGCAAGGAGATATAACAAATCATAGAGACTGGCAAAGTACAACGAAGGCAAGCCAACCACTTAGATTTAAGAATACATTTACATGGGTAGAATACTTCAAAGAACTATTGAATAGACCAGTTCCATTGAATCCAACGGATATCGAAGCAGCACATACAAACTTCTCTGTATCTGTTACTCTACCAACGATCGAAGAAATCAGGATTGCCATCCGACAAATTAAGAGTGAGAAAGCAGCAGGACCTGACAATATACTAACCAAAGCACTGAAGACAGACATTGAAGTCAATGCAAACATATTTCACGTTATATTCAAAAAGATTTGGGAAGAGGAACAAGTGTCACCGACAGTCTGGGAACAAGGACACCTCATCAAGATACCAAATAAGGGAGATCTGAGCAAATGTGAGAACTACAGAGACATCACACTACTATCAATACCAGGAAAGATTTTCATTAGTGTTGCTGAATCAGATGAAAGACGCGGTAGACGCCTAACTTTGAGATCAAAAGGCTGGATTCCGTAAGGATCGTTCGTGGACAGATCAAATCGCGATACTACGGATCATCGTCGAGCAACCAAGTGAATGGAATTCGTTACGATACATCAAATCCCTTAACTATAAGAAAGCACTTGACAGAATCGATATGGGAACTATGTGGGACCATGTTAGATACTATCGTGTATCTGAGAAGATCGCCAACATTATATGGAATTCATACAACGGGCTACACTGAGAAGCTGTGCATGTAGGACAGTTGACAGATACATTCCAAGTGAGGACCGGAGTCAGACAACACTGCTTAGTCTCACCCTTTGTATTTCTTCTGGTGGTTGTCTGGATTATAAAGATCTACACATCTGAGGAGAAAAACGGGACAAAATGGACAGGTTGGATGCAACTAGACGATTTGGACTTCACATGTGACCTAGACTTCCTATCTCATACACAAGAACAAATGCAGACGAAGACAACTAATGTAGCGGCAGCCACACATATACACAAGGGAAAAATCAAAATCATCAAATACAACACGGAGAACGCCTACACAATCCCACTAGATGTAGAAACTGTGAGAGATGTGGAATCTTTCATGTACCTTAACACCAACGATCGGATGCACATGTGAATGTAAGGATTGGCAAAGTAAGGGCCGCATTACTACAATTGAACAACATACGGAACTAAAAACAACTCTTAACCAATATCAAAGTTACAATCTCCAATACGAACGTCAAGACAGTTCTACTGTACAGAGGTGAAACTTGGAGAACCACTACAACCATCATCAAAAGGGTACGAATGGAAAAAAGGATTAGCGACAAAACGATGAGACAAATAATCTATTTCAATTAATCTCAGCCCCGATAACTCAGGGGAGAAATTCAGGTTCAGATGAGGGTAAGTACATTCCAAAAGCAGGAACAACAACAAGCACACAATTCAACAGTATATATATACAGTATAAAAATGTCTTTGGGAGACGTCACAAAATAGCATATTAAAAGAGACAACAAACCGATGATATTTAGGGTCCTTTTGAGTGGGTAATACAATCTGAAGGTAAGCATAGGCACTTTTGGCGCGAAAACAAAAAATTCAAATTTCCAAAATAAAGTTACAAAAAATAAGACGTTTATCAAATGAGTTCTGGGGATCTATCATCTCGAACAAAAATAAGCCATTGTTTATGAGTAATGAGATTAAAAACATGAATTGATCCTAGTTAAACCATCACTGAAATCAGGAAGGACTAGACAATGCGTATAGACGACCTCTCCATAAGAAATAAACCCTGAGACTTGTTTCATATGCGAACGCTTAGTCTCGGAATTACTGCGTCCATATTCCATATTATACATGGCTCAGTTTCTTGATACCACATAACTATCTTTCATTGCTGAAGTTAGTAAACAGTCTCATAGTCTACATCATTGATACATTCGTAATATACCCTATACAAATCCTCCAAACTATAAAAACCCTTTCTATTAAACATAAAAGTGTGTTTCTTTTTTCAAATACAATTTCTAACTACACAAGAATATTTATATATATCAAAACATTTAAATCCTTTTTATTCTGGAAACATCACGTATTCCTTATATTTCTAAAGAAGCATAGAATACTTTGTCTAATAAGAAAAGAAATAAGATATTGGTTACTCTTCTTTGTTGCCATGACTACATGTACCATATCTATACAAGCACACACACACACACCCACAATCATGAACAAATAGATGCATAAATTAAACTTTTCTTTTTACACTAATTGTATTACAAATATATATGTATATCTTGTTACAGAATATTTCCCCCCCCCCGCTGATAGTACTTATATACTATATAGATATAATTGTTTAATGATATAAATGACAAAATAGGTAAGAGAATGGGGAGGGGTTGTGAGATGGTGGAGAAGATTTGTAGCTTAGGTGGGGGTTGTGTATACCTTTATTCATTTCAATCATATTACGTCTTAATTTAATTAGTGTAACAATTTACTTAAAATTGAAGAGAAAATTTTTTTTCTGTCGTAAATCTATTTCATAGATGATGATATAATGAAAGTTTAGTCTAGTCCGTCATATTCAAGGTATTTGGATAGTATAATGATCGGTTACCCTTGTATACAATCATCGATTGAAATCGCGTTAGTCAAATACGAAAACGGGTTTTAGATATGTATAGTTTATACAGTTCTCGATCTGAACAGACAATCAGAGAGACAAAGAGAAGAAAGTGAAGAGGAGAGAGCGAAGAGAAACGAAGTAAGGCGTGATAGAGAGGATGAGTGAGTCAACTCGATTTAACTAAGCGAGAGTCGATATTTGTAGTCAAACAAATGTAAGTTACAGACATAATGAATAGGGTAAGTAACTAACGCTTACTTACTTACTATTTACTTACTCCTGTTACCCCTCGTGAAGGAGCATAGGTCTCACACCAGTATTCTCTATCCAACCCTGTCCCAAGCAATCTTTCCCAGTTCTTTCCAGTTAACATTCATCCTTTTCATATCTGCTTCTATTTCCCGACGTAATGTGTTCTTTGGCCTTCCTCTTTTCCACTTCCCTTCTGGATTCCAAGTTAGGGCTTGCCTCATGATGCAGTTTGAATGTTTCCTTAATATATGTCCGATCCACTTTCAACGTCTTTTCCTAATTTCCTCTTCAGCTGGAAGCTGGTTTGTCCTCTCACATAAAACGCTGTTTCTGATAGTATCTGGCCAGTGAATGTTGAGTATTTTGCGTAGACAACTGTTTATAAATACGTGTACCTTCTTGATGATGGATGTAGGAGTTCTGCACGTTTCAGCTTCATACAGTAGGACTGTCTTGAAGTTCGCATTGAAGCCAGTAACTGATAAGGTAAAAATGTGACTTGATAAAAATGAATAGATTGATCTATCTAGAGGCTAAAGTAACCTAAGTGGGCTTGACATAGTACCAGACCCTACGAGAGTATCAGCATAGTTTTAAAATTGGTTACATACTTCAAAGATAAAATTCTAACTAACAATTAATTGATCACTGGGTGGTGATCAATGTCATGCGTGCAGAATTCAAACTGGTGGAGACATCATAATCACACATGTTATTTGATATATGAAGTTAAAGATTTGAAAGGAAACAGTTTTAAAATGGAAAGAATAGGTAAACTGATCACACAAGAGTAAGAAAAACAACTTTGGAAAAACTGAAACTTTCAGGTTTACACAACATCGTCTCAATAGGTGACTTCAGTTAACTCCAGGAACCGTTTTGCGCTTATTGTTTCTTCAAGTGATTTTGTAAACAAATGTTTCATTTACAAGAAGTGGAACTAGAGAGGTTAATCGAGAAGGTCAAGCTAACTGCACAAGCAAGTGCCTATTAGGACTCAGTGGCCGAGTGGATAACGCGATGGCGTTTGAAGCGAAAGGTGCTGGTTTCGAGTTCCAGAGTGAACACCAACTCTGAGATGCAGGTACGTCCATCTGACGAGTCTCAAATAGGACGAAACGCGCATCCTGTATTCCACTGCTAGCCACTATCCATCTTTGCTTAACTGCACAGCGGTTTAATATTGATTTGGGAGTAGGTATCAAAAACATTTTTCTTCCTAATCTCCAAGCTATTTATAAAATCCTTCATATAGTTAGTCAGTCAGTCGATTGACAGTACGTTCAATCCACTTACAATTAAGTCAACATATCGCTGAATAATGATGGTCTTAAATGTCAGTTCCTCATTTCATTGTTATTCGTGAGTTTAGAGCTACAACTAACTGTTATATCAGGACAACGAATAAATGAATGATAACCCACGCTGAATGGTAACCGTTAGGAATAACTTATGAACTAATATGATAGGTATATGCTTATTGTCTGACTATCAAGTGACTCTATTATATGTACATTCATATCCCTTTGATTATAAGCTTTCATTTTACCTATTGACTACTACTACTACTACTACTACTACTACTACTACTACTACTACTACTACTACTACTACTACTACTACTACTACTACTACTACTACTACTACTACTACTACTACTACTACTACTACTACTACTACTACTACTACTACTACTACTACTACTACTACTACTACTACTACTACTACTACTACTACTACTACTACTACTACTACTACTACTACTACTACTACTACTACTACTACTACTACTACTACTACTACTACTACTACTACTACTACTACTACTACTACTACTACTACTACTACTACTACTACTACTACTACTACTACTACTACTACTACTACTACTACTACTACTACTACTACTACTACTACTACTACTACTACTACTACTACTACTACTACTACTACTACTACTACTACTACTACTACTACTACTACTACTACTACTACTACTACTACTACTACTACTACTACTACTACTACTACTACTACTACTACTACTACTACTACTACTACTACTACTACTACTACTACTACTACTACTACTACTACTACTACTACTACTACTACTACTACTACTACTACTACTACTACTACTACTACTACTACTACTACTACTACTACTACTACTACTACTACTACTACTACTACTACTACTACTACTACTACTACTACTACTACTACTACTACTACTACTACTACTACTACTACTACTACTACTACTACTACTACTACTACTACTACTATACGATTTACTATTCTTGGGATATTCACAATATAATAGCTACAGTCTCTCACACTCACAGCCACTTTTGACTTGATCTTGTATAATTTTACTTTAACCAACTTTCGCCTATTACCCCCAATAGAGTATAGACCAAAGACCAGCACTCTCCAACCCACTCTGTCCTTGGCCTTCCTTTCCATATAATCCTTGTCTGATTCGTTTACGTTCAAATATACAATGATATAGTGTGCTGAGAAGCACATAACTGTAAATTGGGAAGGTGTGAAAAAACGGGCTTGGCTGTTGATGGGGTAGGTATGAATAAGAAATTAAAAACACAATCGATTGAGTGCATTTGTATTGATTGTTTGAATCTTCTCATTAATGTTTAGGCATGTAATTGATTAGACTATTCATATTGTCTCGATAATGTTCGAAGCCACAAGCCTCTACTTATTTTACTTTTACTTACGCCTGTTACTCCCAATGGAGCATAGGCCACCAACCAGTATTCTTCAACCCACTCTGTCATCGGCCTTCCTTTCTAGTTCTATCCGATTCTTGTTCATTCTTCTCATGTCTGTCGACATTTCTCAGTGTAATATGTTCTTTGGTCTTCCTCTTCTCCTTTGACTTTCAGGATTCCATGTGAGGGTTTGTCTTGTGTTGCAGTTGACTGCTTTCCTCAATGTGTGTCCTATATACTCTCAGAGCTTCTTCCTGATTTCTTCCTCCACTGGATGCAGTCTGATTTGTTGTCTTCCACAGTAGGTTGTTGTTGATGGTGTCTGACCAACGGATCTGAAGTATCTTGCATAGACAACTGTTAATAAACATCTGTAATTTCTGGGTGATAGCTTTCGCAGTTCGCCACATCTCCGCTCCATACAATAGAACTGTCTTGAAATTTGTATTGAAAATTCTGATCTTGATGTTGGTTGACAATTGTTTTGAGTTCTAAATGTTTATCACTTGTAAATATGCTGTTCTTGCCTTGCCGATCCGCGTACTTACATCGATCTTGTATAATTGTTATTTTCTATTTTATGATATGATGCCGTATGTTTGAAATACATGATTCATATAGCGGAGGCTGATATTTGTATTCTGGACTTGAAAAGCAGGGCTCAATGTTAAAAGACCAGTCGAACTCTAGGCTGCTCATTCTGGTTTATGTGTCATTAGTTTAATCGTACAACTCGGCGTATCTTAATTTGGCAATCGTATTTTGCTTGAGAACTTTTAGAATCCATTCTAACCTCCAATCAACTGCACAACTTAGAACACCTCCCTAAACTATGCTCATATTAGGTATTCATGAATATTTAAAGTAACATGTTCCGTGAATGCCGTTCCATATCTCTATTTTCATTTATCTGACAGGCACCAGCCAATTCTAAAATTCGTGACGACATTTTTTCTTCTTCTATAGAACTGGATTTATCATTATATTTTCATGATTTAATAACCGTATATTTTATTTTAAAACTATGAACATAAGCAGATCAAGAGCAAAGAAAATGTTGAATCTATGACAGTCAAGTATACATCCAGACACATTTCTATAATGTCTCTATTTAATTAGATAAACTAATGACGGATTTTATATAGTTGAAATTATGAGTCAATTAAAGTTAGACCACCATGGAAAACCTGAAAGTACTGGATGGCCGTTTCATCCTATTATGAGACTCATCAGCCGTGCGAATCCACGATCCCGCCCCGCGGGATTCGAACCCAGGACCTATCAGTCTCGCGCCAGAGCACTTAATCGATAGATCACTGAGCCGGCATCCTACGGTGTTAATGTTTAACGTCAACCAATCCACGAAATTGCGCGACCAATTTCCATTGTACTAAGGTAGATACCTGTCTCTACCTGACATGGATTAGCTCCACTGGCCTCGACTTCTCACTAGAACCACAGTTTATTTCATGAATTATCAATTATTTTCATCCATTCCCTTGATTGTTATTATACATCGGTCGATATAGAGTGATTGAAGCAATCAAACCTTAGACGAAATCTTTGTACTTGTTTGTAAATTGAGTTTATCATTACTATTTTAGAGATTCGAACTAATTCAGTCAGTCATTCAGCTACAACCGGGAAGTGATAACTTCTCTCATATTTTTAACAGCACTCAAGATCATTGTATTTATAATCAATCTCCTTCTTCAATTCCTACTATTCCTTGTACCTCGGCTTTCAACACTAAACTTTCTCTTTCGGTTTGCTCCTCAAGTATCACCATAGCCAACGATTCTAGTGTGCGAGACACTGTCTCAGGTCTACTAAAACCTCGCTCCAAACTACACATTGAAGCCTTCAGCGTACATACCCTAAGTCAAATCGGTCAACAGGCCTCCTTGGCTAAGACCCTAGAATCTCGTATGATTGATGTATGCTGTGTCTCTGAAACACGCATACATGATCCTAGTGTGGTCATTCACTTGATCTCATCTCGCCAAAATAGACAGCCAACGAAATACACCCTCCGTGTATCTGGCGATCCGTTGGCTAGTTCTCGTGGACATGCAGGTGTAGGCATAGCACTTAGTACAAGGGCAGAACTAATTCAGCATCATCGTCGAAGAATACTATCATGATAATAATTGGGTTGAGATGAGATTTTCAATGTTTTTAACATATACCCATATAAGAAATCGGATATTACATTATATGTTGTGAAACAATTAAATTTAAGTGAATACTGATTAGGAAACACTGGGGTGTTTATCAAACATACCTTACAGTTAACGATTATTCAAATCCTAATCACCATGCTACTACTATAGAAATTCATGGACTACTCACCTACCATGTCATCATGTTCAGTACACGATTGATAAGAAACTTAAATATGAGTATACTGGTCTTGAAAGCTTGAAGATGATTCTTAAGAGCATTCATTGCTAGATCACTGATGTTAGTTCCTATCATTAGAGTCTATTATTCAGCAACTAAACATAGTAGTTAATAGATAACTGACTAGAAAATGATCTCTAAGTGCTTTTTAATATGCACTTAGTATTGTTTGTTTGAATCTTCCCATTGACGTTTAGGACTGAAACTGGTCAGTCTCTTATTGGCCATATGTGCATATTGTGTGTATTGCCTCGATATAGCCCCTAATTCACAGGTATTATAAACAAAGATGGATAGTGGCTAATAAGCAAGTGGCTTTCAGGACTCAGTAGCTGAGTGGATAACGCGATGGCGTTTGAAGCAAACGGTACTGAGTTCAAGTCCCAGAGTGGACATCAACTCTGAAATGCAGATACATCCAACTGACGAGTTCTAAGTAGGACGAAACGCGCATCCTGTATTCCACTTCTAACCACTATACATCGTTGCATATAATGCTTGTGAATTAAAGCAATATCGAGTCAATACGTGCAGTATGCACATATGTCAATTCGAGACTGACCAGTTGCAGTCCTAACACATCGATGGAAAGATTCAAACAAACAATACTAAATGAATTTAAACAAACTATATATTCACATATAAACAAAAAATGAACATCAAAATTTAGAAAATTATTATCAATCCTATCACAACAATAATAGTAGTATAGGTATACACAATGAAAGCAATGAAAACATGATTTGCACCTATATAGTTTAGCCATATTATCAACCAGTTCTTCTTTTGTATATTGTTCTTATGGTTGTCAGGCCTATCGTGAAGATGAATTGTAGTTAAAACTGAAAGGGAAAAGAAAACATGACAACATTATGATGGTCAGTCAGTCACAACGTAAAACTTCGTACGTACGTACGTATGTACATCAATTCGAGTTGCTATACCACATTAACACAGAGATGCAGTTGTCTATTTAAATCCCCTAGTGGTTCATTATATGAACCTACAAAATATCAATATAATGTGCTATTTTAATTCTTATTATTAATCATTGTCTACTTATCACAATATTCATTATTTGAATTAGAGAGTTATCAGTTTCTATAGTATCCTGAATCAATGCTAAATAGCTGGAAACAATGGTTATAAAATATACTCACCGGATCCAATAAACAAAGTTGTTTATCTAAAAGGGATTATAGTTAGTTGATTGGTAATATTTACTTTTTAACCGGTAGATGTATATATACTGGGTTCTAATCTCACGAGGTGGGATCGTCAATGCTCACTGTCGAAGAATCCCATACTAGGACGATACGACTGTTAATTGTTTCCAGGTTTTCTATGGTGGTCTAGCTTTAATTGACTGATCCATTCAACTATTAAAGTTATTTATCTTTAAAAAATTGTTGTATTTCTCTCAAAAAAGATAGGACATACATTGAGGAAATCACCAAACTGCATCACAAGGCAATCCCTAACTTGGAATCCAGAAGGGAAGTGGAAAAGAGGAAGGCCAAAGAACACATTACGTCGGAAAATAGAAGCAGATATGAAAAGGATGAATGTTAACTGGAAAGAACTGGAAAGGATTGCTTGGGACAGGGTTAGATGGAGAATACTGGTGTGCAGCCTATGCTCGTCGACGAGGGGTAACAGGAGTAAGTGTGTAAGTTTATTTCTCTCAGCACATCTAACATAACCAGAGTAAGAAACGAAATTATAACTGACTGAAAGCCGGAATATGAATAAATCTTCTGTACAGATGAAAATTTTGCAATCTTTCTCTTTTGAAGGGTTTAAGTCTTTTCCTGATATTATATTGATGAAAATGTCATACTGTTATTACGCCTATAACTATTATATCAAGTGTTTGATATAAGATGGTGGTTGGAGGTGGTCAACAGGAAACCCTGGACCCAGGTCTCGTGCTACTTGGCACTCGTCAGCAAGGTGCACATGTAGTCTTGAGAGAACCGGTGTTCCCTGACGGATTCGATCCCGTGTCACCCACCTTCACCGTCAGAGACGTTACCATTTAGCTATTCGGGCCGCGACCAACCTTCTGTAGGACTGAGATGTAATCACAATTGATTGATCACTGGGTGGTGATCAATGTCATGCGCGTAGTGTCAAGCCACCTAGACTAGTGGCCACATTGCAACTTGATCGAGAGCATTCGATC